TGTTTAAAAACCTCCAAAGAAGGAGACTCCACCACCCTCTGAGGGAGTCTGTTCTACTGTCACTGTCAGTCAGGTCTTACTGTCTGGAAGTTCTTCCTAATGCTGAGATAGTAGATTAGGGAAGAGGAAGGACTTCCATGAGACCCCCTTTTATAAAACCCTTCTCCAGCATCAGTCAGGTTGCAATCCTTACTGTTTTGAAGGTCATCTGGAACTGTCCATAGAACAACCTTCATTGATTTCTGAATTTCACTGTATCTTTCATTTTACATTGTCTCAGAGTCAGATGAGAATTGAGGGCCAGCGTGGTGTAGTGGTTTGAGTGTTGGACTGCAACTCTGGAGACCAAGATTTGAATCCCCATTTTGTCACTGAAATCCATCGGGTGACTTTGGGCAAGTCACATGCTCTCATCCTCAGGGAAGACAACGCCAGACCCCCTCTGAACTAATCTAGCCAAGAAAATCCCATGATAGGTTCACCTTAGTCTCCATAAGTCAGAAATAACTTGAAGCCACGCAACAACAGCAACAAAGAGAGCTACACATGATGTTTATAGTGCTTCCTCAGCATATACAGTTGTCCCTCCTTTTTTGCGGACTTTGAATTCGCGGTCTTGTTCTTCGTGGGAGGGACAAGCGCCTATGAATATTATGGTGCCATGTGCCACCCACATATCTGCCACAGGCGAGGACTCCATTATTTCCTATGGGACTTAAATGTGTGCAGGTCGCCATTTTCACAAGGGCGTCTGGAACGGATCCCCCACGAATTATGAGGGGCTACTGTACATTCTGCTGCTCTTTCCACCAGATCAGATATGTGGATTTAGGCATAGGCATTTCATTTATGCATGGGAGACAGTGCGGTATAGTGGTTTGAGCATTGGACTAGGATTCTGGAGACCAGGGTTCAGATCCCATTTCAGCCATGTAAACCCATTGGATGACCTTGGGCAAGTCACACTTTCTCAACCTCAGAGGATAGCAGTGGCAAACCTCCTCTGAAGACACTTGCCAAGAAAACCCAATGATAGGGTTACCGTAAGTTGGAAGTGAACTGAAGGCACACACACAAATTTAGCTTCCAATCGTAACTCATTCTTGTAAACACTACAAGAGTTTTAACTGTCTACTTATGTGCTAAACCAGTTTGCAGAGCTGTCATTAAAAAGGTGTTTGTAAAGATAGTGTTAGAAAAAACTAGTCTCAGTTTCTTCAGCACCTATTTCTCTGACAAGTCATACAAATGTACATAAGGTTTATGATCACATTTATTGCTGAAGGGAAGACGAAAATTATGTTAAATACTTAAAAAAAATAAAATCAGCAGGACTGTGTGTGCCTTTACAGTGAAAATTGGTACAAATCTGGCAGCTGTATCTGTCAGGTTCAACTTTGTAGCCATAAAGTCTCTAGGTGTTTGTGAAAGATGAATAGCCTAATACTCTGCAAAAATTGTAGAATGTCAGCAAACTGTTATCCAGTTCTGTCTTATACTAATGCTTTGTTGTTATTTTTTGTTAATTGTCCTTGAGTTGACTTTGACACATGGAGACCTTGTGGGTGAGACTCCTGTCTTCCACTGCTCTACTTACTAAGTCTTGCAGATTCATGCCCGTGACCTCCCTGATTGAGTCTATCCATCTGCCATGTGGTCTTCCTCTCTTTGTATTTCCCTCTGCTTTTCCCAGCATTATTGTCTTTTATAATAAGTCATAACTTCTCATGATGTTGCCAGAGTATGAAAGCCTCAGTTTAGTCATCTTGGCTTCCAGGGAGATTTCTTTTTGGATGTCCACAGTATTCTCAGCTCTCTTCTCTGGACCACATCTCAAACAAGTTTACACTTGTCCCTCCACATTTGTGGCTTTGACTTCTACAGATTTGATTATTCATAGATTTTATTAATATGTTCTCTCTAGGACTATCTTGGTTCTCCAGTGCAATTCTATGGTCAACTTTAACCAAAACTCACCCTGAAGGACCTAGAGAGAACACTCCACTAAGCATTTGTAGCTCCTCCAGTGCAATTCTGTGGTCAATATCTGGTAGATGTTGACCACAGAGTTGCACTGAAGGACCTAGAGATTCCTAGAGAGGTATAAAAACATAGTGTCTTTGTTGTTTGTAGATTTTCAACATTCACGATGGTCCTATACCTCTAATCCCAGTGAATGTGGAGGGATGCGTGTATTTTCTTTTTATCTGCTTTCTTCACTATCCAGCTTTCATATCCATACATAGTGATTGGGAATACAATGGCTTGGATGGTTCTCATTTAGTGATCAATTGTATATCTTTGCTCTTTAAGATCTTGTCTAGTTCTTTCATTGCTGCCCTTCCCATTCCTAGTCTTCTTATCTCTTGACTGCAGTCTCTGTTTTGATCAATGTTTGATCCAAGGGATGAGAATTCTTTTAACTGTTTGAATTTCCTCATTGTCTATGTTGAATGTATGTAGGTCCTCTGTAGTCATTATTTTTGTTTTCTTTGTGTTCAGCAGCAAGGCTACCTTTGCACTTTCTTCCTTGACTCTCCTTAGTAATTGTTCCAAATCTGTGATTTTTTTTCTAGTAATATGGTATTATCTGAACATCTAAGACTGATGATGTTCCTTCCTCCTGTCTTCATTCCTCCTCCTTCTGAGTCTAGCCCTGCTCTTAGGGCCTGAACAGATAATCCATCTTGAGACCACTTTAACTGCCTTGGCTCAATGCTAGGGAATCATGGGAATTGTAGTTTTTTCTGGGATATTGAGCCTTCTCTGTCAGAGAGCTCTGGTGCCACAATAAACTACAGTTCCCATGATTCCCTAGCACTGAGCCAGGCAGTTAAAGTGGTCTCAAGATGGATTATTTCTGACAGTCAGTAAAGGCCCTTAGTATGGTATTTTCTGTATACAAGTTAAACCTATGAGGTGGCAGTATTCATGCCTGGCCCCTTTTGCCAATTGGAAACCATTCTTTCTCCATATTCTAATCTAACAGAACGCCTCTCCTCCTGAGTGCAGATTCCTCTATCAGATGTATTGGCACTCCCATGTTTTTAAGTGTTCCATAGCTTTTCATGATGCAGTCAAAGGCTTTGCTATAATCTGTAAAGCACATACTGACTTTCTTTTGGAATTTTTTGGTGTGCTTCTTTATTCATCATATATTTGCATTGTAGTCACTAGTTCCCCGCCTTTCCTGAACCCTGCTTGCACCTCTGGGATTTCTTTCTCCATATGTGATTGGAGTCTATGTTGTAGAGTTGCGTGGGAAATTAATGCTATGGTTCTATAGCTGCTGCAGTCTTTTGTTTCTCCTTTCTTTTGATGGATGGGGGTGTATATTGACCATTTTCAGTCTGTTGGCCAGCATTTTGTTTTCCATGTTTGTTGGCATATTTTAGTTAACACTGAAGTTGATTCTGTATGTGTGAGTTATAGTAGTTTAAAAACAATAAGGAAAACCAGTGTGATGCTACAAGATGCAGATCTGTGGGAAAGGTTCATACTCGTTCCAGCAAGAGGTAGATAAAATGCTATGGCTGAATTGTTGTTGTGTTCCTTTAGGTCGTTTCTGACTATGGCAACCGTGATAGGAACTGATCATGAGGTTGTCTTCATAGATTTTGGTTCAGAGGAGGTTTGCCATTGCCTTCCCCTGAGGATAAGAGTATGCAGCTTGCTCAAGGTCACCCAGTGGACTTGCATTGCTGAACAGGGATTTGAACACTGGTCTTCAGAGTCGTAGTCTAACACTCAGATCACTATACCACTTTGGACAAGATTCTGTTTTAATTCCAACTAAAGGACTCTGGTTGAAATGAATAGGACTGAAATTAATCACCATTTATGCACACCCATTGATTTCAGTGGGTCTGCCACAAAGGAGGTTAACACTTGATTTAGCCCAGGGGTAGGCAACCTTTCCCCTTTAAGGGCCGAGGGACTTCAGCTCCTAGAAGTCTCAGCCATGTTGGCCAATAGTCCCATGTTGGCCAATAGCTCCTGGGATTCTGGGAGCTGAAGTCCCTCAGCCCTTAAAGGGGAAAGGTTGCCTACCCCTGTGCCCTACAATTTAGTATAAGGTCTATGGTATGGTTTCATAATAAATAGAACAAAAGTAGTATTTTATCCAAGAGACGGTCTGTATTTGAAATACTGATGCCTTCATTTTAAAATGTCATACAGAATTATTCTTTTAAAAGAGAATTGGAATACATAAGTATATTTTGTAGTTTTGTCCAGTAGCAGCAACTGTTTTGTTGGTGGAAAAACAGGTGATTGGAATTCATTTAATTCAAATTTTAAATATTTGGTCTAGAAACATCAGTTGTTTTAAATAAGGATAAAATTGCATGTTTGAAATAGTAATACTACTTTTTGATTCTGTTAAAAAAGAATATATTGATGCTTGGTTTCACTTTTTGCTATCTTGATGTTATTGAAAATGTGTGTTTTAGTAGAGTAGTAGAGGTTATTTAACTAGATGATACTGGGCTGTGCCATTGGACAGTGTGCTATATTGGTGGATTTTAATAGAATGATGATAACAAGTGCTGAATGAACCATACTAAAATATTATAATATAAGTACAAGTATTAGAGTGGTTTCATAAAAGAAGAAATTCCTCCAGTTACATGTACAGGTCGAGTCTCTTATCCAAAAAGCTTGGGACCAGAAGTGTTTTGGATTATTTATTTATTTATTTGGATTTTGGAATATTTGCATATTCATAATAAGGTATCTTGGAAATGGGACCCAAGATTAAACATCAAATTCATTTATGTTTCATATATACCTTGTACACAGTATCCCTTATCCAGAACTCTGAAATACTCCAAAATTCTGGATAAGGGATACTCAATCTGTATAGTCATACGTTTTAAGTACTGGCATCTCCTAAAACCCTAGAAAGTCACTACCAGTCAGGAGCTGTGTTTAGATTATCTCAACTCAGCTTAATAAACAGATACGACAGGATGTTTCACTCATCCATGCATAGTCTCTTTGCTCTACCCTTGGTATCAAGCCAGAAGGCTATTAATTATAGTTTTCCATTTCTGGCAAACACAAAAGCTGTGGTTACCAGTTTCAGGTCAAGTCAGTCAATTAAAACAGCTTTGAACCATGGTCTAATATTGTGCTATCTGAAGATGGTAAGCTATCTGAAGATGGTAAGCACTTTCCTAATCTAGACAAAATAAGAAACCATGGTTAGATGCTTTCTGGTTTAATTGGTTGCGTAAGATTGTGAGTTTTTCTTAGATAAACTGATTCAGAGTGGGCAGTACTAAGGAAATAGTCCAAAGTTCTGATTTGATATTAGGTAGCTTTCTATTTCTAACCATGTTTACAAGTCCTAGTGTAATTTGGAGTGCAGTCATCTTTTCACTTTTTTATTTTTCTAACTTAATATCTGATTTCTTTCATACACCTAGGATAGTGGGAGCTATTTCAAGACAATCGTTGTTTACCTTAAGGTCAATATACACATAGCACTGACTTAACTGCAAATTGAGAGCCAGTTTTTACCAGCCTACTTCTACAAAGCAACTTTTGGCCATCATCGTCCCTTTCCATCATTAACCATCATTTTGCATTGCACATGCAAACACATAAACAGTGATTAATACCAGTGATATCCTATTCTCAATCTTTATTTTGCATCAGTGTGCCTTTAATACAAAAGCATGAACTGGAGTGTTCTCATGGTCCAAGGTAACTGGGGTTCAAGGTAACTGGATACTGTGATAAGACTCCCCCATGCAACATCACCCCTGTATGCCTCAAAGAAGCAAAGAGCAATGCCACAAGAGATGCCTATGGAGAAAAATCACAAGTGAGCTGGCCCTGTGGTACTTACCTAGGATCAAACATTAAGGTAAACAGTGGCAGTAATACAAACCCCATCTTTGTCCTTGGAGATTGTGTAGAGCAGTGGTTTCCAACCTTTTCTATGCCTCGCACGCTTAGAAAATGTTTGTTTAATGTTCACACCCCCTACAAAATTAATATCGCATTTGAAGATGAGGAAGTTTAATTTCTAATTTTTAAACTGCAGATTGAACCACCTACAATACAGTGAATGAACAAATTAAACTTTAAGAAAAGCTTTTAACTCAGTAGATAAGATATCAAATAAATTGACCTATTAGATTCGAATTTATTCAGAAAAAAATTAAACTATTGTAATTGTAAAAATTTTTCCTTTTGATTAAATAAGCAACGGGACTATCTATGCAATACAACCACCTACTATCACTTCTCAAGGCACACTGGGAGCTGGCTGGGTGATGACCCAGGACTTTTCACTCAAGAACACAAACCACTCTTTGTCGCAGCCCCTGAAAGTCCATCTGGCACCCCCAGTTGGAAATCCATGGTGTAGAGGATAAGTACTGTTGAATTGAAAACTTTGTTTTATTTTTGCTAACAGAAATCTTGAAAATTGAGGTGAACAAAGTCATGGTGAAGCAACATGTATAAAATGGGATCTTCTTGGTCATAAATTTTAACAGATTAAATTTGAAAATAGTGCACATGGTATAAGACAAGACTCTGGGCCTCAGCAGACGGAGGCCCTGGAGCCGCCGCCAGACGGAGCGCCGCGGGGATGCAGCCTCCGCATCCCGGCGCTCCTGCGGCGGCTCTGGAAGGAGCGCTAAATCAGCGCTCCTTCCTCAAGACAGGGAAAGTGCGCCCTAAAAGCGGCGGGCGCACTTTCCCTGTCTTTTCCTCCGCAGCGCGTCCGGTCGCTGCGGAGGGAGGTTGCCTTGGAAGCGCCGGCCGTGCGGAGGGCCGGCAGCTTCCAGGGCGACCTCAGGAAGAGGAAGGGGCGCCGCTCGTGCGGCTGCCCCTCCTCTTCGGGGCCTCCAAGACGACTCTATTAGTCGTCTGCCGAGGCCCTCTGACATCCCTACTTTTGAATTAAGAGTCCTAAATCACATGTGTAGCTCCATTTAAAAAATATTTGGAGGTTTTATGGCACATATTGCTGGACAAGTGAACAGAACCTTACTTGTGTGGACTAATCATAGGGAATTAAAACTTGCAGAGATCCTGAAACTGGGGAAATCCATTTTCAAGAAGGAGGGGATGAAATTTTGAATAAAATTAAAATATATGGAATACTTATTTTTCATATGAAACCCATTTTTAAATTTTAGCATCATAAAATACCTCATAACTTATTTAGCATATAGTGTGTGTGTGTGCGCGCGCGCGTGCACACACACGCACACATCCATGCTTTCAAGTTGTCTTTTTACTTATGGCAACCCCATAAATTTAATATTTTTCTTAGGCAAGGGATACTCAGAGGTGGTTTGCCAGTTCCTTCTTCTGAAATATAGCCTACAGTACCTGGTATTCAACTGTGGTAGTCTCCTATCCAAGTACTAATCAGTGCTGACCATACTTAGCTTTTATGATCAAACAGGACCTGGTGTCTTTACAGTATTTAGGGCTATGTGCTATTATAAAATTTAAAAAGTCTTGATTTTCTAAAGGCAAAATTGCTACTACAGGCACCCCCCCCCCATTTTTTGACAGCTCATGTTTCAACAGCTCACTCTTGACCATTCTAAACTAAACCCAGAATCCATATGTCCTATGTGTGTTTCACTCTTTCAACCATGCATTGAATTAATGGTTCTGGTTGTATAGTAATTTAAAAGAGTCAAAAGAGTGGAGATTAATTTTGTTTCAAATGGTTTAGGGAAGCTAGATTTTTATTTTTGAGGTGGTGGTTAATGCTTGTTTGGCTAAGGCAATTATAGACTGGGCAAAAGAGGCATTACTAATAGGCTTTTATTTTTCCTGAAAGAGTGTTGAGGCTTCTATGGCTGAATGGGGGAAGGATGCTGTTTGAAGTATAGTTATCCCTTCTGATTTGCAAGGATCTGTTCCGGACACGCCCCCCCCCCCCCCCCCCCCCCCCCCCGAACTGGAAAAACCACAAATATTGGAGTCCCATTAATTTTAATGGCTGTGCAGCCCTGTGTTAATGCCATGGGTGCGTGCACCATTTTGTCTCTCCTGGCTTCCCATCTGCGTAAATCCAAAACCACAAATGGGAAGTCAGCTAATCAGAAGGGACATCTGAATATTTATTCTCTTTCTGTGCAAGGAAGCATTTTGGCTAGGTAGAGGTATGGGTGAAGAGAACAGTTGAGGGAAAGCAGGAGGGTGCACACAGGCTTGATAAGCATGGCTGGACCAGTGGTGACCAGCCCTCCTTTGACTAGATGGCTGGGAAGAAGAAGCACCAAGCACCTCACCGCCATTGCTGCTGAACAGCAGGAAGCAGAGTCTAGTCAGAGGTGTTGGCTTTGTGACATAAGTGCCCAGGCTGCCTGTAGGCTCTCCAAGGAGAAGGAGATGGTTTCAACTCATCTTGCTGCACTGGATGAAGTGAGCCAAGCTAAAACTACCGCCACCACAGAGACCCTACAACCAGCCCAGGTGGTTATATCACGCAGCCAGCACCTGTGACTTGATTTTGTTTGCCACCACTTAGCAGCAATGGCAATGAGGTGTTGGTTCATCTTCTGCAAATGATATAAATATATTTCAAATGGTATCCCTCTTCAGTTCAATTCAGGTATCCCCATTTATTTGACAGGTTAGAGACCAGAGCACTATTGATCCCCATTTCAATGATTGCCACTTTTTGACATTGCCTTGGTCCCTAACCTATCAAATAAGCAGTGCCTTTCTGTATAGTCTCATACTAAAGGGAGAACTGCATACTGCTCCACTCTGTGCTATCTAAGCATAT